CACTAGCCCTGGGAATTTCACGGCGGCAACCTCCCTCTGTAATGAACAGTCCATGCCCCCTTACCCCAGTCTCACAGAAACCTTCTTTATTCCCCTGCTTGGTAGGTGATTGCTGCTGAGGGGGAAAAGGCTGCTTCTGAGTCCCTGCGGATGGCAGCCGAGATCCTGTCCAGTGCCCCTGCTGCTGCTCAGCTCCGTTACCTCCATGCACTGCACTCCCTTACCGCAGAGAAACCTGCTGCTTTCCTCTTGCCCTTGCCTTTGGATGCCATCAACCTGGCCTCTCTGGCTACCCACAGTCCTCGCGCAGCGAGCAGCCTCCTCACAGACACCACAAAGCTCCCAGAAAGCCCGAAAGACAAGAAGGACTCGCCCATGCTCTAAGAGCTGTCCCAGAAATGGTTGCCACACTGCCTCTGGTCAGTCCTGCTCAGCGAGGAGCAAGAAGGCTGGCCTGTGGGCAGCCCACCAGTAGGTCCTGGTCTGGAGGCAGGAGGGAAGGCAGACCAGGCCTGTAATATAAAGTGGATTGTACATGGAAGAAGCCTCTGCTTGTTTTGGAAAGGGAAAAATACGGAGCAGGAGCAGGGTTGGCATGTGTGTGAGCAGGGGGTTGAGGGAAGAAGGGTGTCATCCCTTCCCTTTCACAGGACCAGAGGCACCTTGACACCCTAAGACCTGGCCCTTGGGATCTGTCACCTTGGCAGGAAGGACAGACAAGTCCCTATGTACTTAAATGCCCCCTGTCTCCAAACGGAACAACCGGGCAGGCAGGGGTGGGAGCCCGAGGGTCGGTGGGGTCACAGGAAGGGGCTCAGCGTGCAGGCAGGTTGGCAGGTGCCATCAGCCTGGTTCTCCTGCGACAACAGAACGAGCTGGGTCTCATGGCTTAGTCCTGGTTATGGGATTTCAGTCACCACATACACATGCAGGCAACCAAGGTGTTTAGCCTGAGTTCTAAAATAGGAGGAAAAGGAAGAGGAGGAAGAGGAGGAAAGGCTTGGCACTTCTCTGCAAGGCACATCAGCTGTGCAGGGGAAAGGCAGGCTGTGCCGCTGCTGGTTTCCACTGGGGGGTGAGGCAGGACAAGGTCTGAGCTTGCGGGCATCTCTCAACATTTTAGAGGTGATCCGTTCAACCAACTCCTGCTGAGCAGACCAGGGGGAATCCAGCACTGCTGGGGAAAAGCCAACTGAGAGCCTCAAGAACAGTAACACTTTTGCCTGCTGCAGCTGCCTTGGTAACCTTTACACACAGGGAAGGAACAGGCAAAGTCCTCAACACTCCTATATATCTTTCCTGCCAAAAGCCATTTGAAATGACCAGGAACCTACAGATACTGCAATCCTTTCCCTTGGCAAAGATACAGAGCACTGCCAAAGGAAATAACACTGCACTCAGTTTCTCTGATCCTGGTGCCCTTTGGATGGATGTTAGCTCTGCTCCTGCCCTGTCACTTGACCTGCAGCATCTCCCCTTGCTTCCAAGCAGACCTCCCCTACACAGCCATTCCCAGGACCAGCGTTCTGCTGCTGGTGGCCTGTAGAGGCCAAGATAGAGGGCACTTTGTGGCCCTTCTCTTAATTGCCCACTCAGTAGTTGGCCGTCATGCATTTGCCTAGCAAGGGTTGCCCAGTCAGTCGCTCGCTCTTGTATTTTCACTTATTTTTTCAGTCCCTCTTTGCCTGCTGGCAACACTCATGCACATTGGCATCTATCATCAGTAATAACTTCTGTTAAATGCAGCTGTGTCACGAGGATGGCCTGTATGTACTGACTTCATACTGCTGCAAAGAAGGATCCCACTTCTACCAAGAATCACATATTCTGTATTTAATCAGCCCCTTCAGCTCCCTCAAGTCCCCTTCTCAACACTGGTTGCTCCCATAATACCTACTTTACAAGTATTTGCCAGCCTTTTTACAGCAGGGACGCCTGGCGAATCCGGTCCCCTTACAAGTGGCTGGGAAGTGGGAAAAATCTGCCTGTGAACGTCACGGTGATCACACGAGCATCCGAGCTCCAGGCGTAACCTCACATCTAAAGCATTCTGCCACTGCAGCCCTCTCAGAAGCGGGGGGCAGGGGGGCTGTGGCTCCTGCTTGTCTGTCTGTTACATATCTCAGTAGTGATCCTCTCATGGAAAACTACCTCTGGGAAGTAGAACAGCTCTGTAATCTTCCACTGGTGAAGACGAGCTGTGTAGTTACTTCTTTAAGAGGCTAGTTCTGGTTATTTCTCATGCTGCTGGAATACACCGCTGTTTCCCAACCTAAGGCAGAAGAGTGTAATACCACACAGACTGAGCCGCACATGATCCTTTCTCTGAACACTTCTCCGGCTGCATTTCTAACTCCGTGTAAATTGTTCCATCCAGACCAAGATTTCCTGGCCCATCAAGGACCAACACCTCTGCAGGTAAGGTCTCAAAGCAACAACACTTAGCCCGAGAAATGACTGTCAAAAGACATGCAGTTCTACGTCAGGGCACACACATTACCCTATTTGCAGTCATATCTGCAGAAGTCAGGCAGAGCTTTTTCAAACATGTAACTTCTCTGCAGTTACAGAAAAGGCAAATTATAGCTAAGAGCATCCTCAGTTCCAAAGAGCACGCCTTGTTCCAGCAGGATCTTCTCTCTGTTACATACACAGAGCTGGCAGAAACTTGTCATTTTACCCTCAGGAGCTAATACCTTCGAAAACCTTGCAGAAGGAAAACATGATTTAAAAATGTACTTCAGGATTAGTGATATGTGATGTTTCCAGAACAGAATTTACTCCGAGGGACTTGGCAGCGGTTACCTGAGCCGATGCGATTCCTGACAGTTTCACTGCCTGCTCTTCCAAGCTGAGACTGGGTCGAATTGCAGAGTCATGCCGAACCCAGGCAGCTCTTTTGGCTTTGCAGAGCTTTATAACTATACAGACTGCCCCAGGTTGGGGACCCGGCAGAGGCAGAAGTCCCAGGTGGCCACCTCACTGGGCATTTTGGCCTGTTGAGGCCAATGGGGTACTGCGGATAGGGAACCAGGGGGCTGAGATGCCAAACACAAATCACGGGGAGGTGGAGCATTTAAATACCATCCCAGTGCACTGAGCGGGTGAACTGGCATCGTCTGAAGTCTGATTTTGAGACCTTGGTTACAGGCAGTTCTCCTGTGGCAGCAATTTGAGAAAGGCCTTCAGGACCACACACAGCTTTTTGAAAGAAGGATAAAACCTTCAAAAGAAGATTAAAAGACAAACAAAAATTTGCCCATATAATTCTGTACAATTTCTTCCTAACCAGTCAGCTGATAACTGGATCATCCGAAGCCCAGAGGATGAAGGAGGTACCCATTATCACATACACAACCAGGCCATGCTGGTACTGAGAAAAAAAAAACCAAAACAAACCACCTTGATACAAGAGGAAAGAGGTGCAAATAATTTACTTGCATGATCCAAAAGGGACGAGGCAGAATGAGGTAGAGCAGCAAGAAGAGACTGATGAACACAAACAGGAGGCAAGGGGAGGGGAGGAGGGTGCACAGGCAGGAGGGATGTGGGTAGGAGAAAGGTGAGGTAGCAATGGTATTACAAGGGAGACAAGCTGTAAAGACAGTAGGGCTGTTGGAGGAGGTAGTGGGCAAGTAAGACAGATGTGGAAGTGGTAGAGCCAGCTAGAGGAACAGCATAAATGCTGAGAATGCAGAGAGATGTTGTGGTAGTGGATGAGGAGTAAGGCAGTGGATCAGGGGTGAGATGCTACTATGAATGGGCACTAAGAAACTACTCAGGCATTGCTGTTTAATATTTGCTTTTTCTGGATCCTTTGGACTGGCCAGAGGTAGAAGCTTTGGGACTTGAGCAGGCCTTGATTTCTGAGATGCTTTCTTGGAAATATTTTTCTGAAAAAAACCCAAACCAACAAACCAAAGCCATTAAAAATACTGCAGAGTAAAAATGTGCCCAAGGTATCACATTCTTAACAAACAAATTAGCCTCTCCTCCCGGTTTGATGTCAAAGAGATAGGATACACTGAAGGACTAAGGGAAGAAGTTTTAATTCCTATTCTTTCTCCTTCTCCACATCTTACATCTGTGCAGACCCAGCTGAAAAAGGAGACAAGAAAATGCTTTCATCCACAACAAACATGTGAGCAAAGAAACTCCCTGCCACACAATTTGGGCAAGATCAGTAGGTCAGCAGTGTTCAAACAACTCCTGGAGACAGCAATAACGTCCTGTGCGATAAACAAAAGGTCTGTGGCCTCTGAGAGCGAAGGGACCTGGAACATTATTTCTTTTCTACCCCAAAATCAGTGATCATATGACCCTGTGTCAAGTGTCAAAATCAAATAAATTTACTTTCTTTCAAAACCAGACCATGTTCAGCAGTTCTTTCTGTCCTGATCTAGAGTCATGGTAAAAGCCTCCTTGCTTGGCCTCTGACAAAGGGTCTAGACAAAACCCTAGGATGTGCCCAGGCGGAGAGGGTCCTGCACTAAACGGGAGACGAATGAGGTGTCCTCAAAGATTGCTTCCATCTCTCAGTCTAGGAGCGGGTTCAGAATACTGATTTTCCTGACCTTGCCCTTCTGGGATGACTTTCCCCTCTTTCTCCAGCTCACTCTCTAGCTCTTTGATTCTCTGCAGAGCTTCTTCCAGCTTCTCTTCAAGACCTTCAGATTTCTCCTCTGCATTCTGAGCACAGATCTCTGTTTCTCTGAAACATAGAAGCAAAGATAATGCTGAAACCTGAAATCTAAGCAGCTGCTGGCAGGGTACCTAAAAGGAAGATTTAGAAAGCTGAAACGTTCAGTAGGATTGACTGACTCCATAAAACACATTTATGGTTTCAGAGAAGGGCACTGTTAAAAGATCTATAAGGGACTTCGTGGCACGTCTCTGTAAACCCTGCAAATTGAATTAATTTTAAAACTCAGCTAGCAAAAGGTGAGACGCTGATCTTCATTGTGCAAGGATAAATACAGAGCACAGTTAATTCTATTAGCAAGGCTAATGAGACAGGCTTACCCTGGATAATGCAAGCTCACAGACAAAACAAGAAGTACGAAAGAATGTAATTCAGAGTGCCGAAGCCTGCTTAAGCATGGAAGAAGTCATTACCAAACACAAACTTTGACATGGTTCCGCACAGAGCCACCTGGGTGTCCTTTCATTGTGCTGCCCGCACTTAGGGACAACGTTGCGTGGCTGTACCTACCGGGGCACTAGCAGGCCCTGGAAGGGCTCAGCTACATTCACATAGCATCCTGCCAGTGCTAACAGGACCTGAAATACTAAGAAGTCTTGCAGAAAACCATCATGAGTACCTCTGCAATGCACCTCACAAGTACACAAACCAGAAAATCTGCACAGAGATGGCAGAGAGCTGACATAGGTCATATCTGCAGCTAACATAAATCAGAGTCTGTGGCCCAAGACAATTAGAACAGAAGGAAACCCAAAATTAAGCCAACAGACATTGGCTGATGCAGAACCTTATCAGAGAGCAGAACAGGCACTTGCCTGGGATGAAACCCTGCCTCGCTCATGCCTCCAGCACAGGACCAGTACTCACAGGAGCTGCACCTGCAGATGTTCCAGCATTGTCTTAATTGGCTTCAAACTCTTTCTGCAAAAAGGGAGTCGACAGCTTGGTGGGAGTCATCTCCCTCTGCTTGGGAAGAGCAAAACCTTCTGTAAGTGAACGTGAAGCCAACAGTGCTGCATTTCATCTGCAGCATGTGCCTGGTTTGGCACTGGCGTCTCAAAGCACAATCACAAAGAGCTCAGTATCAGCAAAGCATGTAAAATCAGAGGCTAGTTCAAGCACTGAACTCAGCATTAAAAATAGACTAAAATGCTTTTCTGACTCAGACATGAACATCTGAGTGGCTCATTGTCTTGGGTTGCTGGTGCATTCACTGGGTTAACAGAGGTTGGAGATGGCTGTAGCCTGACCAGGAGTGAAAGAACCCAACAAAACAATATTTGGAGAACAGAAAGAGGCAGCTCCTCACAGGGTCCAACAGGCATAAGTCAGTTTTCTTCATTTGAAGAAGACAATCAGGGTTTTTCTGTAAAAGTAACTGTTAAAAGATTCCTACTCTAAGCTTTGGAAGGTAATTGCGATTTCCAGAGGTTCATTTCTGTAAAGCAAATCAAAGTCCATAAAGCAACACTCCTGCGTCAACCACTGTCACTCTGCACTAGCTGCCCACCTCTAAAGCATGAAGGGCAAGGCACACACACCCATGTAGCATGTTTAAGGAGTGGGACCATTCAGTGACAGTTTGCTAAAGATCCACAATTTCTGTACCTCTAGGCTCCACTCTGGATGACTGACTGGCCAGGGAATGACTGCAAAAGGCATGCTCCTATGAAGAGCAACTTTACCAAAGAGCACCATCCCAAAGGCAAGTGGAGAAAACAAGGACCTAGGAGGCCAAAACAACCCAAACTTCTTGCTTCCCTGTTGTGGGATCTCCCTGACTCTCTGAACCTTCTTAAACTCCTCCCATGTGCTCAGCACCAAACCATTTTCACCATCCCAGTCTCTGCAGGTACTTCGGACTACACTTATCACCTGCTACTGGTCCCACGGAAGTCCCAGGGAGGTCAGGAGGACAAATTGCAGCTGCAGTAACTGTGCTAATGACTATTTAAAATTGTAGGAAGAGAGGAATCGGAGAAAAGACCAGCACCTTGCACTGCCCCAGCAGGTCTGACACAAGTGTTAAACAGGACCTCATAACAAAGTCCGGTTGGACAGCTCCAAATCTCTGCCAACAGACTAAAACCAACGGTGCGGTGGAGACTCCCACCCCTGTGACCGACAGGATGTCTGACTTCAGAGTCTGCAGGTGGATGTTGGAGTCACATCCTACATATCTGATCATGTCTGCAGTAGCTTCATTTTCCTCAGTCAGATAATCCATACCAGCACCTGGCTGCTGCTGGGAGAGAAAAGGAACAAGAAATAGGAGATACCACTAGCCTAGTGTCATTCAAGGCAGCTGTAAGGCCACGTTTCACATTGCATATACTGAGCAATAAATAAAAAGGCCCTGCTGGAAAGTAGCATATTGCAGCTACTACAGTCACCTGCACAAAGAGCACTTTCCTCCTTTACTTCTGAAGTTTCTTCCTCTGTTACGGGTTTCCTACTGCTGTTGGCACCTTCAGCTTCAAAACTCTCCCTGAGTTGAAGAAATGATAGTACCCTTCAGCTTAAGCTTCAATTGCAGTTCCTCTAAGGCATCATGAGAAGGATGAGGTGAGCAGCACGGTCTCTTTATCCATCCAAGTAGCCTAGGCAAAGCTAGCTGGTCTCTGACTTTTTTGCACATATTTAGACTTGGACTTCAGCCAGCTAGGAGGGTCCCATGTATGAATATATTTTAAATTGTGAATGACTATGCTAATTCCTGAACATTACATTAGCAGGACCCACTGTGACCTACCTGCTTTGTATGGGCCATGGCATGGAGAAAAAGAGAGGCAGAATGCGAGCTACAGCTCTGGCTGTAGACAGTCATGAACGATGTCACTCTGCTTGGGGGTTGAGTTCAGAACTGACACAAATAGTTCAAAACAATACATCTAAATCAATTTCCTCATCATCTGAATTTAAGCTGGTTTGTATGAAAGTAGACCAATGCCAGGCCAACCATCTATAAAATGCATCTAATTGTCACAGGCAGTCTCAGACATCCATCTAGCCACGTAAGGAATTAAACTAGAAGTCCAGCCTGATCTCCTGGGCAAGGTGACCACCAGGATTCCAGCTGAGTCCACCCCAATGGGTGAAGCAAAAGCTATCATGCACCATGGAGAAATGATCTACCAGTGGGGTAAAATCTCCTAGCTTCACAGAAGCTCTAGTTTTGCCTAAGACCTGCCCTCACAAGCAGCACTGTGATTTTTAACCCGTTTACAGTCATAACACCTCATAGTTCTAGCTGCCACTTTGAGTGCGTGCAGGTCCCCACGTGAAGCCTTCCCTCAAACAGAACTGTAGCCGCTTCCTTAAGGAAAAGTTTTGAAGCAGACCTTCATTCAAACTGGTTCAACCTAGAACAGAAAATGCAGTCTATCTATACCTCTGATCCAAAGAGGTTTCTCAGTTCTTCTAAATTCAGAAAGGAGACTGGAGTGCCTTTGATCTCTGAAAGGAGAAGACTACATGCTTGAATCCAATTACAGCACTCAGGTTGGGAAGACATAACAGCAAATGATTATTCAGGGATTACTGAGCAGACAAAATAGTTGTTATCATATTAATTCATTCAGTTAAATAATTCCACCCTTCTGTCTTTATTTGCCTACCTGGACTCTTCCATCCTCACCCAACAAAGGAAAAGGAAGACACGTTTCTCCAAGCTTTCAGACGTGGCATCTGTCACCAGCTAATCACTCCGACCCACGAATTCCTTCAACAAAAGCCCCTCCTCAGGCCAGCACAGAACACCTCTGTCATAGCCACTGCCCAAGCCCATGTGGAGAGAAATGAGTGTAAATCCCAGGGGTTAATTTTTCACTCACTAAGGTAACGCAGAACAGAAGCACAAGTATTTTCAATCCCTGCAGAGGCTTCTTACATTCCTTGAAGCAATGCCATTTGCCCTGTGCTCAAGGAAGCCTTGGGCTTCAGGAAGGGTCTACCTCTCACATTCCTAAAGCACAGGTGAAGCTCAGCTAAACACTGGTGATGACAGTAGTAGCAATTAAGAGCTTTACATGCAAGTGTAGAATAAGGAGGCGGCAGGTAGGTCAGTTGACTACAAAAAGTTTCAACTGCGTCTGTATAAAGGCATTTTGCACCAAGCACCTCCAGGAACTCCTAAGCACCGCTCAGGTCTGGAGGTACGTGGCTCTGACAAGCTTTGAACCAGAGGTGAATCTACTGCCACTTGTATGGAATGAATCTCACAGGAGAGCCCTCACATATGTACCCCGAAACAGAGCAAGGAAAATATTAAAACCGAACATGACCTGACCCAGGTTTATCTGCTTTCCAGGACTGCAGTCAGTAGAGAACTTGGGGGACCACGGTAATACACAGAAGTAGCAGGAATCTCCCTCCTCCTTGAAACCCTCACATGCTTTTTTCTCTACCTTTTACAAAGTAAATGCAGTCTCATCTACACCAGACCTAGACTGCTGGAAACACAGGCACCTTTTACCTTGATCTTATTCAGCTCCTCCAGCTCAAAATCAGCTTCTAAATCTGCTTCTAAACTGCCTCTGACCGTTCCTTTCGAACAATTGCATTGACAATCTCGCAGCAGCAGCTGCAAAGATGCAGAATGTCATCAGCCCTGTAGGAATGCCCTCAAATGCTTAGAATCAATTAGGTTGGAAATGACCCTTCAATCAGAAGCCATTGCTGTCAGCAAGGTACAGGAGCTATTTGTAGACCTCTGCACTCAAGAAGTCTCCAGAAGAGCAATCTTCACCTTGTCCGTGCCAGCGCTGCACTAACCCACAGAAGATGCGCAAGCACAGATTAGGTGGAGGCTTTGCTCCAGGTGACCTGGACTGCAGACTCGCTGTCTGTGCTGCTGTTACATCCTCTGGAGTTCAGCCTCAGAAGCGTGGGCAGAGCCCATGCAATCCCAGATGCTCCTATGTTCTATAGCAGCACTAGGTATAAAGCAGGTGCTGCTGTTCTCTTTAGGCGTTCATATCTTACTAGGCTCCCTACAAATACCAGTAAAGCCCATTTAAGGCCTGGGAAAAGATCCAAGGATAACCAAATTGACGGGATCTCTTGCTGTGATCAATCTCTCAGCATGCTACACGTTTTTTCTTGAGAAAACCCCCTTGATGAAATTGAAAACCTCAGCTGATACTTGACTATAGAACCAGCAAGTCTGCCCACCCCCCACAAGCAGCTCTTCAGCTCCATGCTGCAGCTTATGAGCCCTCAGAAGTCCGAGCTCCTCATCCATCTCAGCGTCTGACTCTTGCCACTGGCAACACTCCCAGGACAAGCGGTCTGCTGTCATCTGTCTCAGCAAATTCACCAGCCACAGGGTCAGGTTTCGATGCAGTTCAGTCACCTGCACAAAACATCAGAGCAGATCTAAATCAGTAGTGAATGACTGGTCTTGCAAAGTAGTCTGAAGTTAGTGCATTTCACCTAAGTCAATGTCCTACCTAATTCAATTAGCAAACTGACCGAATGATGGAAACATTCATTTTTACCATTTTTTCCTCCCATATTCATTCCTATTACGAACACATTTTTTCCTACTATGAATCTATCCTTCTCCCAGTTCTCGTTTAGGATCATATGCTGCTTATCAGCCACGTGGCACTCTCTCATGTCCAGAATTCAGTGTCAAACCAAAAATCACACATCACATTTGCAGAACATTTTAAAAACGCATAGTGAGAGCCTCTAGTCTACAATCCTGGGAGAAAGAAGTAAAACCACAGAGAACTAGCAGTCACAACAGCTCTCTGAACAGGAAACATCAATGTTATTCCAGAGGAAATGCTTGCTGAAGATGAAACAATAAAATTGTGGTCATGCACTGTATAGGAGACCTTACAGCTGTTTTTAGAGGAGTTCTCCTCTGCTCCTTTGGCTGGAAGACAAAAGCCACAAGTCAAACAGGAAAGAAAGTGTCAGAAGAGAAACAAGCATTCCTCACAACTGAGCTCTGGCCAGATAGAAATTAAAGGACAGACTGAATACTGGATATAGTGCTCTTATCCCTAGCAGTTTCAGGCTTGCACTTACTTTTTCGTTAAATTGGTGATGTTCTTCTCAACCTCACTATTCATGGACAGAACCCATTGGTGAATCATCTGAAAAAAAAATCTCTAGGTACTACCCTGAAAAAAAAAACCCAAATCCAGAAACAAAATGACATCTGGTGCACCAGACCTGTGGATCTCCTGTCTCAAAGACACCTTTGGCTTCCCAGCTCAAAGAAAATCACTTATTTTAGTACACCATATGCTGGAAATATGACACAGGCTTTTTTGTTAATGCTGTAGTTGTGGGCAATTTGGCATTTGCAAGTAATCTCTTACATATACGTTATGCATGTGCTCTGCAAATGATTTATTTCTTGACGATATTTACCAAAGGAGCACCATGAAGAGGAATATGCCCCTCCAAATCTGACTGTAAATGAATCACATACTTTGGGTTTTCTTCAAATGTCAAGATTTCCAAAGCAGGTGGCAGTTCTGAGGGAGACGGTGATGTTCCAGGAGTGATATTGAAGCCACCAACTGTTTCCACAGATATTGCCAAATCAAAGCAAATGAAAAGGCAGTCGCCAATCATTTTAACACTTCAGCTGATCACATTTATCCCACTGCCAGTTTCCTGCACCAGCGTCCCCACAAAAGAACATTTCTCTTTTCTTATGAGTGTAGTTTAATGTACAAGGCCATCCCAGACACGATTAACAACTCTGTCCTTACAAGAAATGTGCTTTCTTATTACTCTCAACTTCATGCAACTGGCTGGAGCCTATACAGCTCATCATGGCATCTACCTGGGCCAGCCACGCAGGAACGCTGTGATAAAATGCCTGCAGCTCAGCTTCGTGCATGCCAGAACCTCGCTTCAGCTTTTGCATCTTGAATAACCAACCTTCCATACTTCTCACCAAGGCTGTCAAAAACCTAGCTGTGCCTGCAGGGGAAGAAAATACGAACCTTTAATTACAATTCTTTCAGCCAACAAAAACAAAGCTGGATTCAAAGAGGGATGTCAAGAGGGACGAACAGCCTATGTGGGAACTGTCTACACTTAGGACTAAGAATGAGCTGTTTGGTAAGCACTGAATTCAAAGCACACTGAAAGAAAATGGGCTTGATTTGAAGCCCTGACTTTCCTTCTTGTCTTGGCAGATTTGGCTCCCTAGTTGCATAAAGGCTGAATGTAAGTCTTTTTAAAACAGCTTTGCAGTTACAACCCGATTCTTCAAAGATGCAGATAGTGCAGTACACACAGATGTGCAAAATGCCTGAACAAGGTAGTAAATTACTTGTCTATTTACTCATCTGGCACATGCTGACGGATATTCTGTTTGCTGGGGAATATGCTTGAAATTTAACAATGCTTGCTCTTGATAGCCAATGTTTAAACTTTCTCTAAATCCTGATAAGTTCCTGGCCTCCATGACATCTTATAGCAAAAATGACATGTTAAGTACATGGTAGTGATGACAATTTTTTTAATATTTCAGTTATTTTGATGCATGGCTCAGTTTCCCCCACTGTATAGTTGTGGGATAGAACTGGTTAACTTCTGCTCTGGATTGGGAGAAGTGCAATGAAGCAATGTTAGGATGTCCAGGCTGGTAAGAAAGGGAGGAGGTCACCCTCCGCAGGGTGGAACCTTTTGGAGCACACGAGAGGAGCTCCACAACCAGGCGTGAGTTTTTAATAACCAGGACGCCAAGGAGAAGCAGTAGGAATGATATTGTTTAAGTTTTCCTGCCCTGCAGCATCAGCTTAAGAAGAGGTAGGTCCCAGGAGGGCACGGGATGAGGGAGAACAGTCACTTCTGATCACTTATGTCTGGTTTGGCCATACTAGCCCTTACACAGTGTTCTGGATTGTTATTAAATAGCAGCTTCCTTTGGGAAGGCTGTCTGTAACATTACATTCATCTTATAAACTTAATCAAATCCCCAGTAAAAGAGAAAACCTCGCTGGAGCTCACTGGAGAGGTCACTCCAGTCCCAGGTGCCAATTTTAGAGTCAAAACCATCTTATTCTCACAAAGGAGGTACGCTGTGAAGGCTTTAAGAAGTGATCAAGGAAGACTGAATAAAAAGCAAATACTTAAGCCAAACCTTATAACTTTAATGTAAGTCCTTTCTTATCTCTCCTGTCTAAAACAATCTCATATCTCACTGTTCTCTCTCCATCTCTAATCCTTGTCATCAAATACCAAACCCTTTGTATTTCTGGCACATGCTGCTTGAGACCAGGTAATCAGATCTTAAAAGATAATAAATACTTCAGGTAATCGAGTGCCATTACCTTACAGGACAAAATTACCATGTTGTCAGTATTGTCTCTTACCTATTCTTTATAATCTCTTTCC